GGGAAAGAGGTGAAAGGTGCAAGCTGACACACATCCCCCTTTTCTCGAATGAATTATGGAGCTGCTGCACTGAGCTGTAGGTCATGGAAGCTAATGGTTTTGTCAGGGCTTGCCCTGGCTCAGCACTCAGCTCACTTTTATCCCGGCAGATAACCTCCGGGCTATCAGCGCTGTGTAGTCAGCCAATCAAATAAGTCATCCAAGAAGATGAGCCGAGACGAGAAAGGGCAAAACTGAGCTTTTAAAGTGAAGCCACACATTACTGCAGCTTTGACAGCTGACCAAGTGACTGCATGCTGTTGCAGAGTTAAACTCCACTCTCACCACCTCCTCTAATTTCCCAAATTCCTCATTTTAAATCCTGTAAAATGCACATGTGGGAAGTGAAAAGGAATACTTACTCAGGCTTTGAGGAGCTGGCACCTCTCTTGCACTTCACTGTATTCACCCACTGTATTGTTTTCACTTCTTCTTACCATACCTTGCAGATTCAGATTTCCCAGACACCTCAGGGAAGCAAAAGTCAAAATTATGTCTCTGTGTTTTGGTAGTTTGGCTAACTACATATCTGTAAGGCAATGTGCACCAGTGTAGTACAATACCGACTATGTTCTGCATTCTTCAGGTGTTTAGTCATAAACCAAAGTACTTTCATCTAGTGCCATCAGCAGGTCAAAACGGTAAAGGCCTTAGAAGTCCTCCTGTAGGTGCCTTGAATCATCTATCCAGTGGATGTAACAATATTTTAATAAGGTAATAGAATATGACTGTTGCTGGATTAAAAAAAATCTAATTAGCTAAACTGTCAACATTTCAGAATGCTTCTGTTTAACTCAATTCCACAATTCATTTTAGACATGATCTAAAGTGTTTTGTAGGAATGTCTCATCATGTTTTTTTTTTTTTTTTTTTTTTTTACATCCATAATGGCTTGAGTGATGGAGAGTGTCTCTTGACAGTGAAGGAGGCAGTCGTCAGTACAATTACAGAAATCCTGTTTCCTGTAACAGGACTCCCAGGACACAACGATAAGCAGGCGAGCTGGATTTTGCCTTCACTGTTTCAGAGGCAGAGCTTCAAGTCATCTGTTTTACAACAGTCATAAAAGCTGCACAGATAAAGCATGAAAAAACAAAAATTAGGAGGATAATCGCTTCTGAAAAAGATTCAGCTGCAAGGCAAAAATGACACAGAGTTTTGTTAGAAAATCTAGCATAATCCAGTTAAGATGGTGACACAAACATAGAGTGCTGTTACTGGCTTGCTTTTTGTTTGTGCACTTGCACATGATTATCTGTGGAGCCATCCAAAACCGTCAAATGTCCCGATTTGCAAACCAAACTAAACACAGTCTAATTAAGAATCCAACTTGCTAAATTATGAAAACAAATGTTTCAAATGTGTCAGTAGAGTTCCATTGGTGCAGAGAATATGTAAAATAGGCCTTCACCATAATAACAAGATTCTTTATCAGTAATTTTATTTGCTGTTTAATCTTCACCTCTCAAAACACCTGCTTAAGAACTGAGACTTCTTTACCAGTACAAACCAGGCTGCTCTCAAAACTTTATATAACCAAGCCTCATTTAGTACCAGGCATTTGGTGCTACTTCATCCATGTCTTTTTTTTTGTTTGTTTTATTTTAATAGACTCATATTTACTACCAAAGTCCTCAAACAGGAGGAAATGTCAAATAGTTAAATGATAATGCACATGATGTGCCCTGATATATGAAACAATGGACATGACACCCTGATGCAGAGCATTGCTTTCTCCAGCAACATCCTTGTTTCTGTTATTTCTGAAACTGTGGTGTTGAATCAGCTTTATGGTCATTGTGGGGGCTGTAGTTTGTGCTGTATAGAGGGGTACACCCAGGACTGCTAAAACTCTGTCTCATTAAGTGAGATAATCATATGTTTAGATTTAAAATCTAGTCTGTCTTGGATTGGGTTATCCAGTGCTGCCTGTGCAAGGCTGTTTTGCTTAATCCAAGTAAATGTAGCTTCCTTTGTAGTAACTAGCAATTTTATCTTATTTGATTTGGGGTAATTTTGCTAGAAACAAGGGGCCTATCTCTTAAAGCACCTCCAGTATGCCGAAGTCATTCAGAGACATCACATTTAGAATATGAACATCTGCACAAAATCTCATGCAAATCAAACAGTTGATGAGATATTTTAGTCCTGAGCAAGGTGGTAGACATATTGCTCAATATGGGCTTCGGCAGAGCCATAGCACCAGCTGGTGTGGTAGCTGGTGTTAGAGTAACTTAGCACTTATGTCTCCAAACTTCAAGGTGCAAGTTTAAAACCTGAATAGACAAGTGGTGGCACCTGTAACCTTGTGATGGAGAAACAAGAATATCACTAATCTTACTTTTTCTGTTATTCATTTGTTGATAGCACAAGGCAGTTGGTCGGTAGCACAATCATTTTAAATGATCATTTCTACAATTTCAGTCATGAATTATTTGGCAACGCCTGCAGTAACACTGAGTGCCTTTTAATAATACAAGTCCCAGAGTTACATTCAAAATGACACAAACTATATATCAACTATTGTTAGGAGCCACTTTGTTACAAATACTGGTGTGTCTGTTTACAGCAGTGCCAAACAAACTGTGGCCTGAGAGGAGGACTGACTCATGTTTTAATAAAGAAGAGCATAAAAGACAGTCAGTAATATCATATCTAATACCTGTTCTGTTATTCTCTGTAAATCCATTGTGTGTGGATATGCAATCTGAATGCAAGAAGGGCTGATTGTGCCGGTAACAGTGAAAACTACAGCGGAGGTATACACTGAATGGCTGGAAGATAAGATACTGTACTTCTGTTTTATTTTCTATGTATATTTAGACCAATTTTCTTCAAACATGGCACACTACATTGTTATCAGGGAAAAAAACTCATACACCTGTTGACTGTACTGTATGTGTGGTGCTGTATGTGTTATTTTAATAATTCATAATCTTTAGAAAATTTAATTTTCATCCACATCTGGTTCAGCATCACTATGTACTGATGCACATAGTGACAGAAAGTTATGTGATGTACTGTACAGTGCCAATTGTTAAAAGTGCAATGAGAATGAGAATATAGCAGATATACTTTATTGCAGTCGTAGACTGCAAGAAATTATAGATCTGCACCAAACATGGGTCACTTATTGGCTCAACTTTCCATCAATTCAGTCAACAAGGTACTGGACAAAAATATGATATGTCCTATGAAAAATATGTCCCATGAAAATATGAATTTTGGACTTAATAACAGGGTAAATGTATATAAGAAGGACATGTCTTCAAGTGTGGGGAGCAGAGCAGGAACAGAGCTGATTACCATGCTGGAGTCTGTGAAGTGGAACACCTTGTACCAAACTATTTAATGCGCTTTTGTGTAAAGTAAAGCTTCAGCAGCTCCATACTGTTTTTGAGTGCGACAACATAAAAGGACACTTTCTCCTGGCTGTGTAGCACATTTATATTGGGAGAGGCCCAGGAGACAGCAGGACTGCTTGGCATAGTGAACCACGTTGGAAGACATGAGAGTAGGGGTCTAAGCAGCAAACTGACTTTGGTCTAACACATGAGCAAATGTCTGCTAACTGGGAGCGCTGCCTCGAAGTTGGCAGCAGCCACTCTGACATAAACTGCAAATGGAAATAATGCTACGGTTTTTATTTATGACTCAACAGCAGGAGGGTAGGTGGCAGGCTGAAGGTAGTGGGTAGAGACACTGTGAGAGCCTGTAACAGAGGTCTCAAGTTTGATTCCTACAACAGCAAACAATGACGTGTTGGAGTGCCTTTGAGTAAGACAATGAATGTCTGGTCAGATTAGAATTTCACTTACTGTTTTAAGTAAAAAAATAAAATAAAATAGTTCCTGATAGAATTTTTATTCGAAACTAAGATTGCCTGTGTTTAGCCATTTAACATTTAAAAAAATTGTCTCTTTCTATCTCCATTTGCCCAAGTAAGATAGAGTAAAAAGGATATTTTCAGTATTTTATCAGGAATAGTATTGAGAGATTTTGAACAATGTCCAACTCTATTTTTCATTCTCCTTTCCTTGGTTGTTTCCACTTTCCTCTGACCCAGTATTCACCCTCATCTCTATTTTAACTTCATGATACCTCTGCTCAAGGGCATAGGTTTGGTCTCAACACTGGTAGATGTCACAGTTTGAGTGTTAAAGGACCCAAATGCAGACACAAAATAATAGTTCAGTGATAATAAACAAAGTTTAATAAAACTAGTCAGGGGAAATACAGACAAAGATGGAAATGTTAGATAAACAGGTAATCAAGGAAAACAAATATTAAACTAAGGCAGGAAGACAGTAAGATAAGCAGAGCTAGTGAGGGGAAATACAGACAAAGAGGGAAATGTTAGATAAACAGGTAACCAAGGAAAACAAATATTAAACTAAGGCAGGAAGACAGTAAGATAAGCAGAGAAACACAAATAACTATCAAAATGCTTCTGGCATAATTGTAGTAAACACTATAGCACAAGAAACAAAGAAAAGGTTGACCTGATGATACAGTAACAACAAAAACAGTATCAACATACAGTATCAACAAAATACCAACACTATGCAACAAGGATGACAATGTGGAAACTGTTAGAGAGCAGACCAACATGAACTAAAAACAAAAACAGGAATCAGAACTAACGAGCAAAGTGAGCAAAGAACATGAACAAGTAAACAAGAGCCTAACAAACACCAGAGTCCAGGAAGAGGCAGAGTCTAGAGAAAACTGAGAAAACCAGGATATGAAGCAAGGACAAAAGCAAGTGATAACAGGTGGAAATACACAGACAAACCAGCAAAGAACTGTGGAAGGTGTGCTGATTGTAAAGGCAAGCCAGGCAGCAACAACGTGCAATGGGTGTGAACAGAGTTAAAGGCTGGTGCAGTGAGGGCACATGAGGCAAGACTGATCAAATATCAAATAATGAATCGATAATTGCATAGGTTTAATTGCAGTATCATCGTAAGACCTCACCTGAAGCCCTGAAGGTTGTACCTCAACCTGCCCTGTGGCACCTTCACCTGATTTCTGACTTTCCAATGTGTAATAAAATGATGCATTGATGAGTAATATGCATACAAACATATGGTTAAACTTTGGGTCCCATTTATTTCTCAGTGCAGTTTAGCTTGTCCTGATGTACGTTTTTTTTTTTTTTTTCCAAAATAAACTCATGACCAAATACACTAAATTTGAAAGGTTGTATTTGCAGAACTTAGAATAACTTTAATGCCGAGCCCTCCCTCAATTTATAATTAGAGCCTCACCTGAAACACTGACGATGCAACATTTAGCCTATGACTTAAGCTCTGCATGGTGAAAAAACCTCCTAACATCTCTTCTCTTTTTGGTGGCATTTCAATATTGGACAAGATGTGACATGGACAAAATAATGTTATGTGTGCTGTGGGCAATAAGTCTTTAAGATTGAATTTTTGCCCATTCATGAGTTATGGACTGACAGCCCTGCTAATTTGCATTGCTAAGCACATTGACTGCCAGCTATGGCCTCCTCCATGTCTGGGAGGAAATACAGTACATAATGTGAGCCTCCCTCCCTTGCAGTCAAATGCTAGCATACCTAAATTGGTCATCTTGTGGACATGGCCTTATGGCGCGCACATCAGAATGACCTAATAGGTTATGACATCACTCCAAAGACAATGTGAATGAGTTTGCTCAAATATTGGTAGGAAACATGTCCCTGCTCATCTGCTGTTAGTGTGTCAAAGGCAAAACCTGACATTTATTAGAATCTGACATTACAAAAGTTGAAATATGCACCAGCTGTTAAATGGTATGATACACTACTCACGTTATGATGCTGATTTCAAAACAGCTGTAAAAAAAATGTGTGGAAAATGTTTCATGTGACATTATCGGTATTGTCAGCTGGAATCAGAGTGAGCTGCTACAATTAGCAGTTAGACAGAAAAGAAACACACAAGCATTGAAGTCCAGCCACATTAAATCTGCAGATCTTTCTTACAGCACTCAACACCTTGCACATGAAAGTTTTCCAAATTTTTATTTTTTTTTTTTAATACCTGAACAGATTTTTGCTTTAAAGGTGCTGAATCCTCAATATCTTCCCCAACATTCCTCCTCTGGGGATGTATTGAAACTCCAAACAGGTCACAGCTGAGGTAAAAACATAAACCCTGTAATCACTTAAAAGGCAGTTTGGGGATATAGGAGCCCTACATTTAAATCATGGTGTGTGTCTACTGTATTAGTAGAGTCCAGTTAAACCCACCTAGTTGCTCCAGTCATTCCTGCACCAGCGCCAGACCAGCAGGTTCCCAGTCTCCAGCCGCAGCTATTATGTCTGTCTTCTTTGAAAGTGAACTGGCTCCGCACGTATAGGCAGCCTTACCTCTGACATTTATTTATTTATGCAAACTAGTTGTTTTGTATTAATCAAATATGGCTCACTGGTGAAACTAGAAATACAAAATAGAAAGCCAGAAAAGTTCTGATATTGGCAAGCATTAAGACCAGTGTGTCGTGTGTGTGCATGTGTCATGTGTAAGTAATTAAGCTTGTTGTGGCTATTCTGTCTGCAGTCGTATACATCTGCGGCCCACTGGACACTTTCCTGAACATCATGAAACTGTTTCAGAGTGAGATCCAGGACCCAGAAAACTACGCCATCTTCTATCTGGATGTGTTTGCTGAAAGCCTGGTGAATCGCAAACCATGGCAGAACAATGACTCTGACTGGGCCGATCCCATCAAGATCTTCAAGGTACAATGGACACAGGACACATATGTATGCACATACTGTACATGTTCACGTGTTCAGGAGCTAAGTCAAAAAAGATGATTTAAACATGACATTTATCTGTTTGGATCATTACTCTTGATAAGTCAAGCTTGAGTTTAAATACTTTGTAGAGTTATTACATGTGGACTGTCAAATTGGATGCATGAAAGACCAAAACCACCATCTGGATTGGAAATGTCTATGTGAGTAGCTGTTTCTGTTTGTTTTCTCTCCACATCCCATAATCTCTATCAGGCGCTGCTCACAGAATTACACAGAACCAAGTCCTTACATCCAGATAGAAACCAACAATGGCACGAATGTAGTACTTGTACTGTACAATATTCGATAGTTGAAGTATCACTTGTTCCAAGGCGTTTCTTAAATTACATCACAGTGCATTGAAACCAAGCATGTCAGTCCATTAACACTGTTGCTGTTCCCTGAATCTTAAAAAAAAAATCATCTTAAAAAAATATTTTTGCACAAGCATTCCTCCAACAGACTGACCTTACCGGAAGCGGTGGTTCCTCCCTTCCCTTCAGCCCCTTCAGCCACTTTAACAACTGAAATTCTTACATGACATTAATGAATGCCAGGATGTGTTTTCACAGGAAGCCATTTAGCCTTACAAATTAGCGCACTGAGACATGAGAGAGTGGACACGCATGGGCCGCTTGTCTCATTTATCTCCTTAAATGTCACACGGGCTCCTCCTAAGTCTCTTAATTCAGTGTTCACAAAGTTTTGAAGAGGAACAACTTTCTGAATAGATATTTTGCATAACATTAAGTTGATTATGGCTGTTTCTATCATAATGGACATTGCAGATGTTTGCTAAATGATTCAAAAGTAGTTGAAATATTAATTAGCGAGGAAATGAATGCCTTCTTTGCATTCCATTTGTTGGACTTGGGTGATTTAGTATTGTGCCTTAATGCACACGTCTCCACACATCTTCTCCTTTTATCTCTGCATATCTGAAATATGTTCCTCTTAAATGTGCTGTTAGCTAACAGCATTACAAAAATAAAGTTTAAATGCAAATGAATAATAATAATCAAAAAG